GAGCCACCTGATGGCCTCACCCCACCACACCCCCAGGGAACAAAGGGAAGGATCCCTCCAGGTGGGCAATGAGGCCCCTGTGACTGGCTCTTCCCCGCTGGGTGCCACGCAGCTCGACACAGATGGAGCCCTATGGCTGGGTGAGTATTTTGGGGGAGGCCAGGGGAGGGGTACCCAGGGGTGTCAGAATCTGAGGGAAGACCTCATCTCTTGGGGCTGGCGACCGAGAGTGCTCCCTGAGTCCCCTATCCAGGACAGCAGACCGACTGCCTGGGATAGTCCTGTCCCCTCCTGACTTAGGCCCTGTGCAATTATGGGCCAGGAGGCTGGAGAGATGCTCCAGCCTCCTGGCCACACGGTCCCCCCCGGGCACTGACAAGCCTTAGGTAGCTCACCTGGCCTCTTCAGTACCTGTGGGCCTGTCTGCTGGCTAGTGTCCCAGATTGCCCACCCATGAGTCACAACCAGGTGGCCTTTCTTCTGTCTTCCTGCAGGCGGCCTAGAGAAGCTGCCCATGGGCCAGGCCCTGCCCAAGGCCTACGGCACAGGCTTTGTGGGCTGCCTACGGGACGTAGTGGTGGGTCAGCGCCCACTGCACCTGCTGGAAGATGCCGTCACCAAGCCGGAGCTTCGGCCCTGTGCCGCCCCGTGAGACACACGCCACAGCCCACCACCCACCCTGCCATCATTATTTTCTATTTTTGTAAACTCATTGCTTTTTTGATATGGTTTTCTTGCCTATATGTTGGCCAGAGGGACTGCTGGACCGGCCTCCCTACCATCCGGACAGACAGGCTACAGAGACAAACTCTGTGTCGAGGGACCTGCACGGGGAGATGGTGCAGGCAGTGTGGAGGCCCGGACTCCAGCTGTAGTCTCAGGACACGCCTCTCCACCTCGGGCCCCCCCGGCCCGGTCCCTGGTGCCGTCCACCTGTGCCGGGCCTGTGTCCCCAGAGCAGGAAGGTGCTGCTGGGGCTTGAGGGGGGGCCCTTCCAAGGGGCCTTTCGAGGCTCCCACTTGAGCTGCTCCCGCCCCCGGCACGTGCTGTAGGCCGGGGCTCTCCTCGAGCGGGGACTGCCCCTCCCAGGCCTCCTGTGCCAATACTGTGACTTAGAAGCAATGTTACTGTCGGGGCTGTATATTGTACCCTTCCTCCCAGCTATGTCCACCAGTCCCAGAGTGCTGGAAAGCAGAGGCCAGGCCCAGGACTGGTCGAGGCACCTTGACACTTAGTTGGCCCTGCCTGTCCATCCAGCCACCCTGGACATAGCTGTGTCCCCTCCCTGATACCCCAGGTCCCAGGAGGAGTCCTGAGAGGGAGCAGGGCTGCTGTGTGATGTGGTTGGTGTCCACTGCCTGCTTGTTCGGGCAGCTGGCATCCCCCTCTCAAGGTTGGATGTTCGGGTTGGCCACCAACCTTTATGCATTGATTTTATTTGACACCTGCGGTGACAGGGCCATCGTTCTCCGGTCCTGGCCCAAGGGTGGCCGAGGACACCGCACAGCAAACCCCCTCTCTGGTTCTGGTGTGAGTAGTTGTCATTGTCCAAGAAGGACCAGGGGTCAGCCGAATGTCTGACCAAGGCCAAGGGGTGGGTGTAGAGGCAGCAGAATAAAACTGCAACATTACGCCGCATCCCACCTGACCCCCCCTCCCCTCTGTGGGGGTGGCAGCCCCAACACCCCCGCAGCAGGGACTGTGTCATGTTACTAACCCCAGTCTGTGTCTGTGTCGATCACCGTGAATTAAAGTCTGAACACTTTAAAAGAAGTGCTGGCATCTGTCCACACCAGACACCACGCCCGAGCGCGGCCTGGCCAGGTTATCACCCACCTGGCTGGCTCCTCTCCAGTGGCTTCTCATTCAACTTCATGGGACAGCACAGGCTTCAAGCTCTCTTAGGAGGCTCTGGATGAAGGGGAGGGCCCTGCACTGGGGAGTAGGTCTGGTTTTCGCAGAGTGCTCGTGGTTATGATGGGGCTGGGGCCCCTGGATGTGACACCTTGCAGACAGCAACGCCGTGTGTGTGTGTGTGTGTGTGTGTGTGTGTGTGTGCATATTTGCACACATCATGTACATGTGCATATCTGTGAGCACAGGCTGGGAAGGAGGGCTGTGAGGAGAGGGGGAGGGGAGGGGGAGGCGCAGGGCAGGTGGGGAGGGAGGAGGGCCTGAGGGGGCAGCCAGGGTCAGTGGGTGGGGCAGGCAGCCCTTTTCACTGGCTTAGGTGGGAGGGCAACGTAGGCCCTACTGAGAGACCCTAAGCAGGAAGCCTGAGACCCTTGGTCCCGTGGAGCTGTGAGCTGTGAAGGACCAGCCCCGCCTGCTGGGAGCGGCTAAAGAGCAACGGGGGAAGAGGGAGAGTTGAGTGGCCTTCCCTTGGGAACTCCTGACTTTTATTAAAGATAACTAAATGCTATCTTTTTGTTTTGTGTTAATAGAAAAAAGCCCAAAATGAATATAAGAAAATAAAAATACCCATGCACTCAAGATCCAGGTGGCCTGTTAGCCCTTGGGCAGTCACATTTTCTTCCATTATTCTTTGACCTTTTTGTTCAGGATATGTGTATGGAGTGGATACCGTGTGCCTATCACCTGTCAGGTACTGGGGGCGGAGGGGAGAACAGCCCTAAACCCCCAGTGCTGGGAGGGATAAGCAGGTGAGATGCAGGAAAGGAGGGTGGGACTAGCCTGGGGCTCTGTGGAAGGTCCAGGAGACCTGGGTGCTCAGACCCAGGCCTGAGGGTGAGCAAGTTGGTGGAGCAAGGGTGTGAAGGCCCGAGGTGGGGCGGGAGGCATCTGTACATCAGTGCAAGGACCCTGCGGCAGAAAGAGAAAGTGCAGGGCCAGCCCAGATGTCTGGAGGCCGCATGTGAAGGAAGAGAGGCCAACAGGCCAGCGGGTAGGAGAGGCGAAGATGGACAGGACAGAACCCGGGGCCTGGTCCTGGGGGGAGAGGACAGAACCGGGGGGCCTGGTCCCGGGGGGACAGGACAGAACCCGGGGGCCTGGTCCCGGGGGGAGAGGACAGAACCCGGGGGCCTGGTCCCGGGGGGACAGGACAGAACCCGGGGGCCTGGTCCCGGGGGGAGAGGACAGAACCAGGGGGCTCTGGTCCCGGGGGTCCTGGCCAAAACTGGCCAGGCTGGGGCTCTGCTGGCAGAGCTGCAGGGAGCTCCCGGTGGGGGCGGGGGTGAAGCCAGAGGTGCTCAGACCTCATGAGAAGGGTTCCGGCTGGGTGAGACAGTGCTGGGGCAGAAGCACTAATAAAGAGAAGAGGGGCGGGGCGCTTGGGTAGCTCAGTTGAGTATCTGACTCTTTTTAACTTTTTTTTTTTTTCTGAGAGAGAGCAGGGGAGGAGGAGAGAGAGAGACAGAGAGAGAGAGAGGGAGAGAGAGAGACAGAGAATCCCAAGCAGGCTCCACACTGTTCTCATGGTACTGGACGAGGGGCTCAGACTCACAAACCCTGAGATCATGACCTGAGCCATAATCAAAAGTTGGATACTTGACCAAATGAGCCTCGCAGGTGCCCCCAAGCATCTGACTCTTGATTTCAGCTCAGGTCATGATCCCAGGGTCATGGGATTGAGTCTCACATTGGGCTCTGTGCTAACAGCATGGAGCCTGCTTGAGATTCTCTCTCTTTCTTCCTCTGCCCTTCCCCCACATGTGCACACATGCTGTCTCTCTCTCTCTCTCAAAAAGAGAAGAGAGGGATTTTGGAGCAGAGTGGATAGGCCTGTGCTGTGCTGAGCAGGGGGTGGGGGGCAGGGGACCCTGATGAAGGCACTGGAGCACCTGGGGGGCACCACCCTGATTTCATGCGGAGGGGCTGGGCTTGAGGAGCTGAGAGCCACCTGAGTGGAGCCTAGGAAGCCATGTAGTACCAGGTAGAAGGGAGGCTGAACTGAAGTCTAGCACATAAGGGAGCAGGTGGGTTGCTCTGGAAGTCAAACGAGGGGCGACGAGGACTTCACACCAGGAGGTCAAGGAGAAGGTGGACCAGTGAGGCCGGGAAGACCCAGAGAGTCTGGGGGCTGATGCTTCCAGAAGGACGGGCTCTCGCGGTAACTGCTCCTGAGGGTCAGGACCCTCAGGTGGTTAGGTGCGGTGACCTGGGTGAGCGGAAGAGGAAGCATCGTAGCCAGAGCTGACCTGCTCTCTGCAGTGGTGGGTGGGGATCTAGGACCAGGGGTTGGAAGCTGCAGAAGGTTCCATGCCTTCGTGTGTGTAGCACTCCTTGAAAAGGTAGTAGGGGGGAGCTGAAGAGAAGAGGGTCCCAAGGTTCCAAAAGAGGGAACCTCAAGGTTGAGAGCCCAGATAAATTAGGGTGATCCTCCCCAGCGCCAGGCTTATGAAAGGTGGTTTGGCCAGTGGGGGCAGTAAACAGGCAGATGAGGGGCTGCTGTAGCAGAAGCAAAGGCCCTGAGGGAAGGGGTGTCGGCATCACTTAGGAGGTGAGGAGAGCGTGGGTGGCAGAGGTGGGGAGGAAGAGAGGGAAGCCACCTTTAGGTAGGAGGGTTGGGGGGATCTGGTTGTCGCACTGGGCCCAGCAACCCATCCTCTAGCTCCGAGTCGCCCCCCCCCACCACCTCCCCGTGAGGGAAGCGCAGCCCCTCCCCTCCATTAAGAAGGCAAAGCGGGAAAGGTCTGCGGGTTTTGGGACACGCGGGGGCCACGACTGATCCGCTGTTTATCAAGTTTACGGCCGCTGAGCAGAGGAGGCGGCCAGGCTGGGGGCCACTTGGACCCCGGCCGCCCGGCTCCCTCGCCCTCCGAGCCCGGGACCCCGCGTGAATCCCCTAGTTCTGCAGTTGGGCGCCCTCGAAAACTTTTGCTTTTATCCTAACTTCTCCCACGCGCGGAGAGACTTGTGGGCGCGGCGCCTTTAAGGAAGCTCAGGGACAGGGCTCCGCGTGGGCGGGGCCCCGGGGGCGGGGCTCCGGGGGGCGGGGCTATGGGGCGGGGCCTTCTTGAAGCGGCCCGAGGGCGCGGCCGCCTGGACCCCGCTTAGCGCCCGGCGCGGAGCAGACATGACCTCGCGCAGGTGAGCCAGGGACGCTAGGTGGCTTGACGCCGCGACCCCTGGAGATGTGCCTCGGGTCCGACGGGCACCGACGGGTAGCGGAGACGTGTGCCCAGGTCTGACCTCCTGCGCAGACCTCTCTCCACAGCCAGGGCTTGACGCCTGGGTCCCAGGCCCTTGAGGCTGGGCCTCACCCCGGCAAATGAGAGGATCCTTTCAAATGGGAGGGGAGGGGCTGAGCCTGGGTGGAGGTCAGAGGTGCCTAACCCTAGGGAACAGCATGCCCTGCAGGTGGGGAACAGTGGCTGGAGCCTAGAATGGGCAGCAGGTGTAGACTCTGCCCGTTCCAGGCTCCTTTTTGGCCGCCGGAGTCGTTTTCTGCCAGCTGGGGGCTACCTCTCCCCTAGGCCTGAAAGCCGGGGCGGTAGCACTGAGGGGCCCTGCAGGGTCTAGCTCCCCGGCTCTAGACCTGGTCCCTTGACCCCGCCTAACTGTGAGGACCAGCTCTCCCTGGACAGGCTTGTCTTTGCTCTAGACCCTCCCGGGGCCAGGCTTAGGGGGCAAGCTTCCTAGAAGGGATTCGAGAGCCTAGCAGCTTCCTGCCCCCATGGAGAGGGAAAATGGGAAATGTGACAGGAACTGGGCACTTCCTGCCCTTTCTGCTGGACCCCTGCTATCTGGATGTGTGCACACACGCGTGTGAGCTCACACTCTAGCATGCATGTGGGTGTCAGCGGGGGCCATACAGGTGTGAGACACATATCACCAGGGGCTGGGTGAGGCCAGGGGTCACAGGAGGGGTCATGCCAGGACCCTGAGTGACTCGCTAGATGAAGGAGGGCCTGGACAAGGTCTGGTCTTCAGCGTATGCGGGACCTGAGCAAGACCCTTAGCCCAAGGCGGAAGTCACTGCCTCCCCCCATCTCCCACCAGCAGCGCCTCAGTAATGAGGGTCCTGGGACCACTATGAGAGATGTGGTGAGGAAGCAGCCAGGCACAGTGGCCTCCATCAAGGTCATAGGCCTTCTTCGGCTCAGGAGTGGTGGAAATCGGTTGGATCTCAAGAACTTGTCAGCTCCAAAGCTCTGTGATAACAGCCCAAATTCCGGGAGGAGGAGGTTTTGAGGTCTGGTTGAAATGACCTCTCAGACTCACCTCACCCTCACTTTTAATTGTCCTCCAGGCAAGTCCTGGTGCTCAGAGAAGGCCATGTCTGTGTCACAGGCATGTGAGCTTGCTCCAGCCTGGGAAAGCCCCAAATAGGGCTCTGCCTGCCCTTGCCAACCCCTCTCTGCCCCACCCTGTGACGACCATCTGGATTGTCACTTCTCTGGCCCCTGGGCCCCTGCCCACACCCTTGTCAGGCCTGGGCAGGTCTGACTAAATCCCAAGTAAAATCTCTCCCCCTGTGCCCAGCTCCACCTCATGTCCCCTCCCATCGCCCTCTGGCGTGTAGATCAATGGGCACCTCCACCAGCTCTGCTCACTCAGGGGCCTCTGGCACCATGAGCATGGCTGGGTGCAGGTGCATTGGTACTGGTGCCTGGGAGGGGCTGGGTCCCGTGGTGGGCCTGCGACACCCCCTCAGGCTCACCCTCTGTTCCGGGAGTTGGAGAGGAAGGTGCATCTCTGGTTAAGTTAGTTCTACGTAGACAGGATGGGCCTTGGGTTAGTTTCCTCTTGGACCAGAAGGGTCAGAGTCTGAAGACTGGGAGCTGGGAGCAGGGAGATGGGGAAGGAGGCTGCCGGTGCCTGGCAGGAGACCACCCTGCAGGAGTGTCCAGCCCCCATATCATGTGTGTAGGTGTGTTGACAGGCCACTCGTGTGTCTTCCAGCACTGCAAGGTTGGAGCAAGGCCAGTCTGTTCAGGCTGATCCGTTAGGTGACATGGGCTGTCCCTGGGCTCCCGAGCACTGACTGGGTTCAGCTGGGCCTTCGGGAGCCATGCCATTAGACCTGTTGGGAGCCCAGTATGCCCCCCTTCCCTGGGCCTGCAAGGGCATGTCACCAGGACAGAGCTGAGTCACTGACCCATCACAGAGCAGGGAGCCCTTTGGCACAGAGGTGACCCTGGACCCTGGCGCTGAGAGGGTGTGGGAATCAGAACTGGGGACCTGTAGCCTCCCTACCTCCTCCCACCCCCTTGGGCGCAGCAGGCTCCACCTCCAGGCTTGGCTGGGGGGATGCGAGGCCCTGCCTCAGCCTGGCGTTCTGGAGGGCGGTGGCAAGAGCGGCCGCAGCCTCTCGGGACGCCCCACCCCTGGAGATTTCCACCTGATAGACCTAGCGGCAGTTTGTGGGGAGGAGAGGGCGATGGAAAGTGTGACTGAGAGTCCCTGAAAGGTCAACAAGGTGCCCTTCATCCGCTCTGTGGCCTTGATTCTGGGCTCCACCCTCTGCCCCTGTCCCCACACTGGGCATTGCCCATCTTGGACTGGGATCTGAGGCTGCTGTGGCCGGGGGGAGGAGGCATCTGGGCACAGGATGTGGTTCAGCAGAATAGGTGGCCCTGGGTGGAGGGGTGGCTGGAAGCTTTCTTCTGGGTTCCAGTTCCCCCCACCCCCCACAGTGTCTCCTCATGGGTCCAGGGACAGCACAAAGCCATTGCCCTTTTCCTGGTGGCCTCATCTCTCCCGCGATGGGCTCTGGAGGTCACCGTGTGGCGCCTCTTCTTCTAGGAAGCCTTCCCTGGCAGCCTCACCTGCTGGACCACTTGACCAAAAAAAATGCCCCCAGGTCTGGCTCCTCTACAAACCCAGGTCAGGGAGGGCTCAAAACACTAGGCTCAGAATGTGCCCAGGCAGTGCCAGATGGCGGTGTCCCCCATTCCCCCAGGGAAAGCAGGAGTGTTGCTCGGGCTGGGTGGCCCCAGGCAGCTTCCAGGCCTCTCTGAACCAACACGTGAACCCTGGGGAGCCATCAAAGTCAGAACCGAGCCTGCCCTCCACGAAGACAAGGGTGACACAAGAGCATGGATGTGGCAAGTGTCCTGTGTGGAAGGTGGGGCAGCAGTGGGGCTGCAGCACAGCGCAGACAATGTGAGCCATGCCCGGCAGGGGTGGTTGGCTCTGGGTGCTTTTGGAAGGTGGGAAAGAGAGCGCATGGGGCTGCGGGTTGATGACCTGAGCTGGGGGCTCCCTTCACTGAGTGAGGACCGTGTAAAAGAACAGGGGCATGTGAGCATGGCCGGGAGGTTTAAGTGTTGCAAATGTTAAAATAGAAATGTTGTTATGCTTCCAAATAGAGATGCCAAGGAGAGAAGTGTCTATGAGCCCAGGTGGGGCTGGGGGTGTAGACGGCACACAGATGTGTAGACACATGTAGGGAAAGGTGGGGAGCTCTGACATTGACAGGTCAGAAAAGGAAGGGCCCAGCAAGGGTCCTGGCCAGGGACGCAGAAAACCAAGGGGGAGCAGAGAACATGTTTCTAGAAGGAGGCATGGTGCCTGTGTCAGTCAAATGCTGTTGAGGAGAGACCTGCCCACAGGTCCCTGAGCCCGATGGGCACCCTGAGAGCTGGGGTCTCGTAGGGCTGGAGGCAGAGGGAAGCAGGTCTGTGCGGACTCAGGCAAGGACAGACAGTGGAGTGTGCACAGACCAGGACTTTCTGTGGCAGTGGAAGTACTTCCTACCTGCACTGTCAGCAGTCTCTGGAGCCACATGTGACCCACAGCAGTAAAATGTGGCTGAGGAGCCAGGTCTTGATTTTGTGGAATTTTAATTAATTTACATTCACATTTCACACACGCTGTGGGCTGCTGTGCTGGGCCCGCAGATACAAACTGTGCCCCCAGACGGCTCCTTGGAGGAGTGACAGCCACTGAAGGCAGGATAAAAGGCGGCTGATGGAAGAGAAGGGCCCGGAGGAAGAAGGGTCCAGGGTGGCTTTAGACACATGGTCTAATTTCCATTCTAGAAAAATCTCTACAGGGCAGAATCATCCTTGCTCCTATCTCTTGGGCCAGATCTAAACCTGGGCCAGAAATCCCTGCCCTAATAGAGGAAACAAAAGCTACTAGGGTTAAGAACACAGCAGTTATGACCTTGGACATGGGCTCATGCACAGCCCTCAGTGAGGGCCCTTCTTGCCTGTCCCCATTTCATGGCAGACCCTGTGAAGGACAGTCCCAGGGAGGCAGGGCAGGGAGTGAAGGCTGGGTTGCAGTCCTTCTTAGCCTCCCCCCCCCACCCCCCCGCCCACCAGTCCTTGACCAACACCTGCCTCAGTCTGTACCAGGTCCCACTGTTGGCAGAAGGAAGGCTGAGTTCCTGACCTGACCTGCAGCCTCCCTGGCCCTTCTCTCAAGTGTAGCCCATCCATCCACCTGCACCCCCACCATCCACTTATGTAGTCATTCACTTCTTAGTTCAAGTAAAGTCATTAATACCCAGCTACTGTTTTCACCTCTGGGATACAGCACTGCACAGAACAGTTTCTGCCCTCTGGAGCTTAAGTCTGTAAGTGGGAGATAGACAGTAACCCAGTAAATATATGTCAAGGAGGTGACAAATACTATGAAGAAAAATAAAGTAGAATAAGGGATAAAGAATGAGAAATGAGAGGCACCTCTCAGCCATATGAATGTGGGCCAGGGGAGCAGAGAACAGCTAAGGCCCTGTGGTGAATAACCTCAAGTGAGCGAGGAGCTAGGGCTGGGGAGAGTGGTCGGGGTGGAGGGTGGACGTGAGCCTCTAGGCTGTGCTCTTGTTCTGGGGCGGGGGACAGGGGCGGTTGGGGGGGCTCAGTGACTAACACGTTGTGGCTACAGGAGTGCCCCGTGGGAGAAGGTGGTAGCCAGCATCACACCAGAAGGGATGGAGCTGCAGGGTCTGTTGAAGGGCCGTGAGGGCAGGTAGGAAGCCCGGGGTGACACTGGGGCACCCCAAGTGCCTTTGGCCTATAGCTGGGATGCCATGGCAAGGCCAGAGGGATCAGACACAGAGTTCAAGGTGAGGTTCCTAATGGTGGCTGTGTGCGGGTGCGGGAGGGTATCTGTCCCACGCCACGCCCAGCTGCAGGGAGCTGCTCATCTGTGTCCCCAGGACCCCGTTGCCCCACCTCCTTCCCTGAGGCCTGTGGTCATTACCCACAGCAGGTTTTGAGCCTGGGGGCCCAAACAGGCACCATGCGTGAAGGTTGGATGGGGGCCAGGATTTCAGGGGGCCCAGAGTGTACTCAGGGTCACCCCAGCTCTCTGGGATCACCAGCCTGTGGTCCTCATTCTAGGTGGTTTCACCCCAACATCAGCGGAGTTGAGGCAGAGAGGCTGCTAATGTCCAGGGGCCAGCATGGGAGCTTCCTGGCAAGGCCCAGCAGGAGCTGCCCAGGGGGCTTCACACTGTCTGTCAGGTGGGTGAAGGTGGGTAGGTGCTGCAGCCACATGTGAACAGGCCTGAGGCTCCAGGAGGCCTCAGTGATCTGAACACCCTCAGCAGGGGGACAGGTGGGGATCAGTCTCCCCTCTCTTCCCAGAGGGGCGTTGGGCATCATCCTGGGCAGTGAGGCTTCCTGCTGGGAGCTGGACATCCAAGAATCTGGGTTTTGTCGGGGGTGGGGGTGGGGGGTGGGGAGCCAGCGGTTTGGCAAGGGTGGGTGGAAGTCTGGCATTCCTGACCAGACGGCTTCTGAGCAGGAGGGAGTCATCTAGAAGGGCCCAGTGAGGTGGACTGGACCTCCCTCCTGCCTTCTGAGGGGCCTGGTGTGCTGGACAGGGGGCCTCAATGGCCGTGATTATGATCCCATGTCCTGGGGATGCTCTCCACTGCTGCCCGCAGGGGGCTTGGCTGGGGGAGGAAGGGGAAAGGGCTGCAACCAGCAGAGTGGTGATCTGGGAAGGGGGCTTCCAAAAGGTCTCTAGATCTTTCCAGTTTCTCTGCTAATCCTGAGGCAGCAGGCGTCATGAGGCCAGCCCTCCGGATGGACTTCTTTCACCCTGGAGAGACTGAGCTTCTCCCCTGGGGTTTCACTGGTAGCATTGCATGCTGTGACCCTGGGGAAGCTATCTTGAGGGCCCTGTTCCCAGTCAGCTGGAGCCCCCAGGCAGGTGGTCTGGGGTGAGGCAGAGCCCCTCATGGAGGGCTGCTTCAGCCTGTGCCTCCAGGCCAAGGGAGAATCAGGCCTGTGGTCTACAAGCCCAGTCCTGACTGCACGGTGGGCAGGAGGCAGCAGGGGCCGGGTGCCCACCACCCCGGGGTGGGGCCCTCATACTAGCTGGCCCAGAGAGGCCTGTCCTTGGCTGGTTGGTGGGAGCAGAACCCCCCCCCCCCAAAACACACACACACACACACAACAGTGACTGGTGCAGCCGCCCTTCCAGGCGCCATGACGTGGTGACACACATCAAGATCCAAAACACAGGCGACTACTACGACCTCTACGGAGGGGAGAAGTTTGCAACGCTGGCCGAACTGGTGCAGCACTACACGGGCCAGCACAGGGGGCTGCTCCGCGAGCGTAGTGGGGCCCCCGTTGAGCTCCGGCACCCACTGGGCTGCCAGGACCCCATATCGGAGCGGTGAGCAGAAGGCATCTGCGTGTTTGTAAGCGTCTGTGTGTCCGAGGGGTGCGGGGTCTGCTGGGCATGGCCCTGGGTGTCCTCTGCCCTCTGTGGCTCAGGCTCGGACCTGGGCAAGGCTGCAGCAACGTTGAGGGAGTGTCCTCACGCACCCCTCCCCTGGGGTGCTGGGCCTCATTTCCTCTAGGTCCCGGGCACTCGCTGCAGGGGTGACAGCGTACAGCACGAACTCTGTAGCCAGCCTTATACCTTCCCTCTGACTGGTGACTCCAGTGAGCAGTTTCCTCCAGCCTCAGTTTCCGTGCCTGCACTGCTGAGGCCCGCAGAAGCTGCACCTGCTAGGGAGGGGGCATGGAGCTGGTCTGGGAGGGTGGCCCTGCCCCTCCCTGCTGGGGACCAGGCTGCCACCTGGTGGCCACCCTGGGGCCTGCAGAGCCCACTTGTCTTGACTCCCGCCCTTCCTAGGCAGGGGGAGAGTCGGAGAGTTGGGCAGGTGTACTGTCTGGGCCCTTGACGTCTGGGTGCGTCTGTCTGTCTGTCCCTGTGTCTGTGTCTTGGCTTGGAGCCTTCTGGATGCATGTGGGTCTTTGTCCCCTCACCTGGCCAGGCCATGGCCTCCAGTCTCACCTGTGTTCCTTCCCACGTCCACCACCCTGGGCCAGGTGGTACCACGGCCACCTGTCTGGAAAGGAGGCCGAGCAGCTGCTGATGGAAAAAGGACGTCCGGGCACCTTCCTGGTGCGGGAGAGTCAGAGCAAACCTGGGGACTTTGTGCTGTCGGTGCTCACGCAGCAGCTGGACAAGGCAGACCGCCGGCCGCGGGTCACACACATCATGATCCGCTTCCAGGTGGGAGGTGGCAGCAGGGGTGGGGTAAGGGTGTGACTCGGGAGGCGGGCAGTGGTCAGGCCCCTCTTGCCGCCCCTACAGCCGGACGGGATGTATGATGTGGGCGGCGGGGAACGCTTCGACACGCTCAGAGACCTGGTGGAGCGCTACAGGAAGAACCCCCTGGTGGAGAAGTCGGGGCTTGTGGTGCACCTGAAGCAGGTATGCCCTTAGTGCAGGGCCCCGAGGATCCAGAGTGAGCTTCACCACTGGGGTGGGGAGGGCCCAAGGGGCACTGGCACCCAGGAAAGAGGTTGGCAGTGCTGAGGGCAGGGTGGCCACGGGAAAGCATATGGGCCAGAGCAGCTGCCCCTGCTGGAGGGCTCCCGGGGGGCCGCTGGACCCTGCTAAGCTTGGACACAGGCCTCTCCATGCCAGCCCCTCAAGGCCACGAGGATCAATGCTGCAAGCATCGAGAGCCGAGTACAGGAGCTCAGCAGGGCCACTGATGCCAGCGAGAAGGCCAAGCAGGGCTTCTGGGAAGAGTTTGAGGTGCCCGCCCCTCCCCCACTGCCCACTCTCCCACGACTCCCGTCCTTTGGGGCTGGGGCGAGGGCCAGCAGAGGGGTGTGGCTTGGGGGAGGTGGATCAGTCACTGAAGGCTCTGGGGAAGGGTGGCACAATGGGATGACGCCTCTGCCCCCCGCCCCCCACCTCCAGATGCTGCAGCAGCAGGAATGCCGACTCCTGTATCCCCGGAAGGAGGGACAGCGGCCGGAGAACAAACCCAAGAATCGCTACAAGAACATCCTTCCGTGTGAGGGCCAAGGGTGGGGGCTATGCTGGGGGCCAGGGCTCTATCCATTACACGTGGGGCCCATCCGGCAAGGATGTCAGGCTGAGACAGGGCGTCACTTCCCACCACTGGTGTGACATTCCCTTTTGCACACTCGGGGCTCCTTCCTCCCTCATCTCGCTCACCATGGGGCCAGCAGGCAAGGAGGCGGGTGGAGTCCCCTCCTTCCCTCTGGAGATCTGAGCAGCATCTCCCCCTCCCCAGTTGATACCACCCGTGTCACCCTGCATGACGTGGACGACGGTGTGCCTGGAGCCAACTACATCAACGCCAACTACATCAGGGTGGGTGTGCAAGAGACAGGTGTGCGTGGCCAGCCGTATGTGTGGTCTAGCGTGGATCTGACAGGACCTCTTGAGCTGTGCCTGGACACACCAGTCACCCCATCCCCCTATCATGAACCTGGAACTCCTTCTGGCAGGCCCAGGAAGACCCAGGTGCCCCAGCAGTCCAGGGGCCCAGACAGGACAGTAGACATTGTTGGAGAGGGACTGTGGTGGTTTCCAAGGGGTCCTCAGAGTGGGCTGGACCGAATAGTGGTCCTAAGCTCCTCCCTCACCTAGGGCAGTGAGGTGACACACTGAGTGTCTCAGCCTGTCTGTGAGCTACTTTGCACATTATTTGCATAGACTTGCACTGTCCTCTGACACTTTGAGTCCTGGAACCTGCACACACCCAGCCCCCCTCCCCTTACAGAGTGATCCAGAAGAGAAGCCAGGCCATGGACTGGGCAAGGTATATATTGCTACCCAGGGCTGTCTGCAGACCACAGTGGCTGCCTTCTGGGCGATGGTGCACCAGGAGAACACACGTGTCATTGTCATGGCCACAAGAGAGGTGGAGCGAGGCCGGGTATGAGCTTGGGTTTGACAGCCCCGTCCCCACCATATGTTCATGTGGACTTGTGCTGGTGGCTGGCCCATCCTTTCTTCTCCTTCAGCCTTTGGGAAGCTGAGGGGTGTGGGGGAGAACTCTGGAGAGCGCCTGTGTATGCAGCTGCATGCACGGGTCCCCACAGGGCACAGGGGCAAGGGTGCTGGTGGTCTTCCAGCACAGCTGATGCGACGCGCCCTCCCTCCCAGAACAAATGCTTCCGATATTGGCCAGAGCTGCGTGGCAGCCAAGAATATGGCCGTGTGAGCGTCTGCAACTTGGCTGAGTACCAGGCCCAGGGCTACTGTGTGCGGGAACTGCAGGTGTGGCGGCCAGACCAGGTGAGCCTAGAGGGCCACAGACATGCAGGGCCAGAGTCACAGTGGTCAGGAGGTCCCCAGGTCTGCGCTGGGGATGAGCCCTGTGCTGGGAGAAAACCCACCCACCCACGTGGCTCTACCCAATCCCATTGGCCTTGGTGGTATCCAGGTCCCTCAACCCGTGGGCATAGTCCAGGCCTGGGCTCCACTGGGCAGCTTTCACAGGCAGGCCACATTCTCAACCTTAGGCCCCTGGTACTAGGGGCCTGGCTCCAGGGTAGCCTCACACCCACATGGCCTCTCCCTCCCTAGTCTCTCCCTGGGCCAACTCAGCAGGCTCAGTGTGCTTCATATGCCAGTGGTGCCTATTTCTGTGTCAGGCACAGATCCTTTCCTGTGCCCTATCCCCACCCCATCCCTTTGGTTCTTCCAAATGGGGGCCATTGTCCCTGAAACCTGCTCCCTCACCTCATCACTCCCTCTTCCTTTCCTAGAGGCCTGAGCCTCCTGGGACAATCTGATGGGCCCCAAGCCCTGAATCCCATATTTCCCTCCCACCTCCTTATGCTCGGCCTTGACCCTGCTGGTCACTCCTTATGGCAAACCCTGCCTCCTCCCAGCTCATGCCCTGTGCCCCCCCCCCACCCCGGGGGTGCGGGGTCACAGCAGTGCCATCTGACCCTGTGGCCTAGCCCCACCTGGGAGCTCCTCAGACTGGCCTGGCCCACGCTCACCAGCCCGCCCCGCCCAGGAGGAGCCACCGCGCGTAGTGAGGCACTACCAGTACTTCAGCTGGCCAGACCACGGGGTCCCTGCTGAGCCGGCCGGTGTCCTCGGCTTCCTGGAAGAAGTGAATAGGGCGCAGAGCAGCACGCCGGGGGCCGGACCCATGGTGGTGCACTGCAGGTGCGATCCGGGGCGGAGTGGGCGGGCAGTGCGGGTGCAACCCGAGGCGGGGCCGCGGCCCCTCCCCTAAACTCGCCACGGGCCTCCTGGTCCATCCGACAGCGCCGGCATCGGACGCACTGGCACCATCATCGTGATCGACATCCTGGTAGACGTCATCCGCAGGCAGGGTGAGCGGCCCCGGCCCCTCCCCGCAGGCCCGCCCCTCCCAGCTGCGCCTCTGCCTCCGCGGTGCCGGGCTCCCGCCTCCGGCCCGGTCCGGCCCCGCCTCAGCCCCCCGCTTCCCCCTCCCCTGCCCCTGTTCCGCCCTGAGCGCTCTCGTGCCCAGGTCTGGACTGCGACATCGATGTGCCCAAGACGATCCAGCTGCTGCGGCAGCAGCGCTCGGGGATGGTGCAGACCGAGGCGCAGTATAAATTCGTGTACCTGGCGCTGCAGCGGTACATCCAGGGCGAACAGCTGCGTCTGCGCGAGCAGGTGGGGGCGGGGCCAGGCGGGGGCGGGGCCTGGGCGGGGGCGGGGCCAGGAGGGGGCGTGAGCAGGTGGGGGGCGGGGCCAGGCGGGGGCGGGGCCAGGCGGGGGCGGGGCCTGGGCGGACGGCACGTTGGTGACCGGCGGGTCTCGCCTCCCACCCCACCCCCGACCCCCGCCTCCCAGCGCCAGCCGTCCGAAGAGCACGACTATCTGAACGTGGGCGTCGCGTCCGCAGACCCCGGCCGCAGCCCTGGACCCGCATCGTCTCGGGCACCGGCGGCGTGAGTGGGGCCGTCAGGGAGCGGGACCCGGCCAGGGTCCCGGGGTGCGAGCCGGACAGCGTCTTCTCCGGGAGTGGGCAGTCCCGGGGGGGGCGGGGTCCCCCGCGCGCCGGCCTAACCCTGTCTACACCCGCAGGACCCCGGAGGGCCCCGGCGGCAGCGTCTACGAGAACGTGCGGGGCCTCGGGCGGTGAAGGGCTTCGCGCGCCCCTGGGAGGGCCTGGAGCTGCGCTGGAGGCTAGGAGCCAGCGTTCCTCAAAACGGCTGTGTTTAGCGCTGTACAGACTGGAGCTTATCCCTGAGGGCCGGGGGAGGGGTCCAGGAACCCTCAGACCCCCCCTGCCCAGGCCTGGATGCCTAGAAACGGGGAGGGGCAGTTGGGAGTGCCCCTGCCCTTTCTGGGGCTCCCAGGTGCGGGAAGAGGGGGAGGCAGGGCTTCAGGGCGGAGGTTTGTCGCTCACTGGGCGGCCACCAGTCACCACCTGCACAACATAGTGACCAGTGTGACCCCATGTGTGCCGCGTTTGAGTGTCTGCCTGTATGTGTGACACGAGTGACCGATGAGCAGGTTGGCCAGTCTGTGCTTGACCTGACTGTAGCCACCAGTGTGTGTCTGGCTCCGCGCATCCTGAGCATCCCCCCAACCTCCCGCTTCAGAGCTGGTCTTCAGCTGGACCCACAGCACAGGCTACATGTGGATAAATGCCTATTTAATTAGGGAATGTGCAAAATGCCCATGTGAGTGCGTGTGCACCATCATGTGCCTGGGGAGGCTCTCATGTGTGCATGACTGGTGTGTGTGTGATGGGTGTGATGTCGCTGGCATGTAGTCTGTGGTCACACCCTCCCATCTCGGAAGGCTCTGTGGCTTTGTGGTATTTTCAATAAAATGGCTCATTCTCAGTTCTGTGTCTTTGCTGGGGTCTGGGGCCCAGCTTCTCGAGGGTCTCCCTGAGCACCCTCCCTATCCCAGCCCAGCCGGAAACCCAGCTGGTTGGAACAGGAAGTACTGGGCTCTGGGGTGTGGGGTGAGGAGTCTGAGGCCTGGCGAGCCAGAACCAGCCTGGCCTCTCTTCACCACGCTAACAGGTGGTGCAGGGTTCCTGGGGCCGGTGGCAGAAGCGGGTCGGGTGGGCTCCTGCCCGTCCCTGGAGCCACCGCGCCTTGCCGCTTCACTGGCCAGGCCCGGCCCAGGGAGGGTCTGTGGGAGATCTTCGGGGTCAGGACACACTTCAGGGGTCACCACTTCTGCTTCTGTACATCCTTAGGACTTGGTTCCCAGGAGCTCAGTCCTGAGGTTCTGTGACTTCTTGGGGGTGCCACCTGCTGTGTCCATAGTGGGAGGGTGTTGGAGGGCTCTGAACCATGCCAGGGCCCCACCCCGCCCTGGCCCCTCCCCAACTTCCTGGGGGAGCCCCAAAATTCTAAGGGGAAGGCAGGACTGCTCCAACCCGTCCACAGCCCAGGGAACAGGAGAGGGACACCTAGACCCGGCTGTCTATCTGCCCTAGGGGCTGCTGGGAGTTCAGTCAGTGGGGGTGTCCTCTGGCTTAAAGTTCTCTGAGGCAGGGGCAGGCCTGGCTTTTCTGGATGGGGAGGCCCAGTGGTGCAGGGAGGAGGGCTTATAGGGTAAGGACCCCTTAGCAAATGTGGATACAAAATAATTTATTTAAAAATGTACAGTTTAGGAGAGGGGGATGGGCACTGAGGGACCAGGCCTCTTGCTGCTGCCTTCGGTCCCCCTGGTACCCCCCCCCCATCCATGGAAAGGGCCAGCCCTGCCTGGGGAGGGGGCTGTGGGTGAAATGTGAAGATAAAATAAAGATAGTGAGTCCTTTCCCTTCTCGGCAAAGGGCCGCCATTGCAGGCGGTTCACAGTGTGTGGGGAGAGGGCCTGGCCAAGTCTGTCTCTCCTGGGCCTGTGTCTCCATCTGCATCATGGGAATGAGGAAGCTGGGCTCTGGGACCCCGTGGGAGCCTGTGATTCTTGGAGGCTTCAGGGACCCTTTTATTCTTGCCATCAGGACCTGGCTCCACAGAGTGCGAGGAAGGTGAGCTGAATGGGAAATGGGGTCCTCAGAGATGTTGGGGCTCCTCTAGGGGACCAGCTCCCAACAGCTGCTGCACCTATGACCCAGCTGAGGCCCAGGGGCCCACACGGAGAGCTGGGGCAGGGGTGGCCGACCCTAGTTGTCAGCCAGGGGCCCAGGAGAGAAAACAGTGGCGGTGGTGGTGGCAGTGGAGGGCTGGGGAAGGCAGCGCAAGTTCCCAGTCTTGAGAGCGCACTGCACGGGCCAGAGCACCACACAGAAGAGCACCAGCAGCAGGGAGGTGACCAGCGCCACACGTCTCCAGTCCCCGCAGCGGGCCCAGCAGCGGGCCAGGCGGCCCTGGGGGCGGGCGGGGCCTGGCGTGGGCAGGGGTGCGGTGGGCTCGGCGGGCTTGCTCAGGCCCACATCCACACACACGAAGCCGGGCTCGGTGAGGCCCGGTAGGGAGGGCGGTGGACGGCAGCACAGCTTAGTGCCCTCCAGCCACACGGGCTCTTCCTGCCGCAGGTGCGCTGGCAGCCTGGCCTGCAGCTGGCGGCTGGTGCGCAGTGCGGGGGCCCCAGCAGCAGGCACAGCCGTAGGCTGGCGGCAGAACGGGCAGGGCACAGCCTCGCTGCCAGGCCGGCCTGTTGGCTGGGCAGCCGCCAGCCGTGCCAGGCACTCCAGGCAGAAGACGTGTGTGCAGGAGAGCTCCTTGGGCGTCTTGAAGATGTTGTCATAGCCCGAGAAGCAGATGGAGCATTCCAGTGGGGAGGCCACCTTCTCTGAGCTTGGGGTGCTGGGGGACCTGGGGCTGCTAGCTGAGCTGGGGGACCCGGGGACTGTGGCTGTAGGGCTGGTCCGAGCGGGGGCCAGTATGGCTGTATGCCACACCTGCTGGCCTGACGACATGCCTCTGAGCTGTGGGACAAACAGAATGGAATGCACTGTGGGTGACCGCATGCTGCCCCTTTCCTGCACAGTCTGCTGCTCTCACCTGAGTCTCTCTTGCCCAGAATCAGCCCTAAGGACCTCTGCTAGGGTAACTCTAGAAAGTCCCATCCATACCCACGTCAAGGTCTTTCTGTTCAAGATGTAATCCTGCCCTCCCCCGCCTCCTCACATGCCAAGACAGGGGTGAGAATTGGTGGGTGGGTGGGGGCGCTCCAGGTCTGGCCAGCCCACAGATGGTCTGACGATGGAGTCCATGTGCACAAGGGCACCACTTACTGTGCCTGTCCTACCTGGCTGTGCCATCTGGGCAGAAATAAAGTTGATGACAATGGCCCACAATAGTTACTATTAACATCTGGGCCCACTGATGCTGGGCCCAGGTCATGTGACACACAAGAGCCACAGCATAAAAAAGGCAGCTTTAGAGGGTGGGGTGACTCAGGAGGGTCACCCGCCAAGAGGCCAGCAGGGCCTGGGCTCTCACTGCAAGAGTGTGACTCTAGGTCGGACGAAGTGGGTTTGAACATGGATCCCAATCTGGGGATCTGATCTGGTTGGTACACACCAAGTTTTCAGGCAGCTGCATGACAGTGGGGTGCCAGGCCTGAAGGGTGAGTGTCCGGACTTGGTCTGGGGTCCAGGATGAGCCGGGAGGCTGTGGGGAGTTGAGCAGGGCCTGGCAGGGGTGGAGGCTGCTGTCCTAAGGAGGGCCTGTTTACCAGCCTCGCCCAAACCTGTAGGGCCAGCTTGTCTGGCAGGCGGGGGGCGCTTTCTGATGGCCCTTGGGGCCTGGAAATGCCCCTCAGCCCCAGCCCTCCTCCGGGATAGTCCAGCCCCTGCAGGGTCACATACACACACAGCCACCACCCTCCGGACACACTCCCATTTCCACAGGAGACGCGGCCTCTGTCTCCCTGGAAAGACTCAGGTGACCTGCCTGCTGACCAGGGCCTTGCCCAGCCCTGCCTCTTGTCCTGCCACATGGGTTCTGCTTGGAGGAGGAAAGGCCAAGAGGACAGTGGACAGACCCCCCTGAGCTCAGAAGGACCCCCCCGAGACGTGACCTTGACCCTGACTTGCTGGTTAATCCAGGTGGGTCAGTGGAATGACTTTGTGGTGATGCACCTGAAGGTCTTGGTGTTGCTGCATGATGACTGTGACCACCGTGAATCATGGTGATGTCACTATGATGTCACGAATGCTCCCAGCATTGCAACGTGAAAGGTCACCACATCTGGGGGATGGCAGCAGCCTCAGCATAGGCTGGCGGAGGACCACAGGCCAACCGCTTCCAGGCCAGCGTGCCCCCACGTAACCAGTTCCTTGGCACTAAGGTCCCAGCCCTCCTCGGAGGCACCCCCACCATGAGCCTGTACCAGTGAGGGGTGAGTGCCAGCCAAGCTGGCCTTACCTGGTGGGCGGGATTCAGCGAGGCCTGGGCATGATCCTCTTGGCTGGGTCACGGCCAGGCCCTGAGCTCTCTCCCCAGCAGTGCTTGCTCCCTCTGCCCCGGGCTGGGCGGGCTGTGCTCCACCTGGCAGTCGTCCCCCTTCGGCAGAGGCTGCCAGCAGCTATCTTGGTGGCACTGGTCTGACAAGTATGCCGTCTTCTCTTGTCCCAGGCAGGTGGGGCTCAGGGGAGTGTGTGCGCTCTTCCAGATGCAGAGCACTGTCTGAGCAGGTGTGAGTTCTCTGGGTGTGGACTCCTGGCAGGTATATTTATATGCTCGAGGTCATGCAGGCCAGGGGCGTGGCCTGGGGCCTCCGGGATTGGCTGGCCTCCTGTCCTCACCCTGGCAGGCTGGGCAGTGGAGGGCAGGAAGTCAGAGGTGAGGGATCGGAGTCTGGGGTGAGGCTGGGGGTTGGTGTAGGCCTCCATGGCCTGGGCGGGTCTGGGGGTGCCGGGTGCCTGGGTAAAACCTCCCCCCTGGCAGCAGGTCCTGGGATGCTGGAGCCACTGGTCCAGAAACAGATCCACTCACTACCGCCGTTTAAGGCCCTGGTGGCACCTGAGCTCCTAGGTGGGGCTCCCAGAAGGGCCTCTCCGAGGAGCCCCCCACCCCCAATCTCAGCCTAGCTTGTCAGCCCCCACCTCATCCACACTGCCCACTTACATGTGTGTGCCACCCCAATGTCCACACACACGAGGGAGATTCCTGCTCTGGGTCCAGGGAGTGGGGCGAGAGGTCAGGGCTGGGCACCCCCAAGGGGTAGAGTCGGGGCGAGGACAAGTCAGGGATCAGACCGGCCATAGGAGTTGTTTTGGGTGAGTGTCCGCTGGGGACACCCTCAGTTACACATGCGGGGCAGGGACGCTGGAGCACAAGGAAGCCCCCAACATAGCCAGGGGGTCTGGAAATCCTCCTGGGGAAAGGGGTAATGATTTCAACCAGTGTGGGACCCTCGGAGACCCCAGCCAGCCTATGCAAAGGCCTGGGGCTAAGGCAGGGGCCCTAGAGGATGTGGGGGCTGGGGTCGGGGCCCTTACAGCCATGTCGCCACTGCTCTGATAGTGGGAAGCCCACCAGAGACCAGCTCGTGCACGGAGGTGTGCTGGCTGGCCATGGGAGGGGGAGCTCGGGCAGGCAGGGACCCAGAGTGGGTGGAAATTCAGAGGGCTGGGGGCTCAATGTGGGGAGCTACTGTGTGGGCCAGGCCCAGCCGGTGCATGACAGGGGTTCTGGTTCTCAAGGGGATCATGACTCAGGGTCACATGCTGCCTCCAGGAAGTGTCCTCTGTCCATCTGCTCTGAGAACACCCTCCTGAGGGCTCCTGGGAATATCCAAGCTCTGAGATCACTTGAGCTCCTCAGTGGACCAGTCAATGCCCAGAAGCAAAGGGAGGACCCGAGGAATGTGCCATCTGGGGTGGTGGCCAGGCCTCACTGCACGGGACCAGGGTCCAGACCCTGGCACGGGGATCTTGGCGGCTCAAGGCCTGGCTGACTCACCTGGTCCCCACACACCGGCTCACACTGCAGCCAGTGACGGGCAGCTGTGCTCTCCGTGTAAGTGGGTGTGTGTGCGCTGACACCTGGCTGTGTTTGAGTATGCGTGCCTCTCAGGTACAGGGAGCATGGCTTTCAGTGTGTGACCCCATGGGCCTGGGGACTCACTGCACTGGGCAGAAGACAAAGTCCCTAATGAGCACCTCACCCCTGTCCATTTGTGGCTTTGAAATGTGGGGTCCTGAGTCCCTGAGACACCTAGGAGTTCTGGGCTGGACACAGACGTTGTCCTTGGCCAGGCGAGCAGAGAGGACTGTACCCCAAAGGCCACCTTGGCTATGGTCCACCACACCCAGGACTGGGACAGAATGGGCTTCAAACCCCAAGTGCTGCCAAGGGCACACACAAGGGCCACTGCACGAAGAGGCCTTTAGGGCTCATCTGGGGCCCAGGTGGCCTGGGGGTGTGAGGGCTGAGCCCCCACCCCTACTTGCCCAGTGTTGGGTGATCTGTCAACTGCTCTGCTGCCCCACGCCTGCCAGCTGGGGACAATGATCTGGGAGGCCCTGGGACACATCCAGGCCGTGATTCTGACATGGACAGAAAACGGGCCCTGGGCTCTTGATGGGCTCAGCACTGCCCTACAGGCATGAGGCAGCCTGCCAGGACATCAGTGGGCTCGGCCAGTCCTGTCCCTCCCACGCCCAGCACGGGGAGATGGGCCCCTGCCCTGAGGTCAGTCGGCCAGCCCTCCCCCTTCTTGCTGCGGCCAGCTCCTTCTGAGGTCTTGTGCCCAGGCCCCCGGCCAGGACCCCTGCAGTCACGTTATCTCCTCAGGCCCCACTCGGTCCTGCTCTGCGACGCACCCACTTCCCAATGCTGCTGCAGTGCATCTCTTCCGGCTTTCAGTGCTTCTCCTAGAGCTGAGTGAATGAATGAATGAGCTGCCAGCTGTGACCCCGGGGCTGTACCAACTGCTCACCATGCTCACCTCCCAGGGTGAGGGGGAGCCCCAAAGCAATTGATGTGGTGGGGGATCAGGAGGGGACAGGTGCCCCACCTGCGTTTGGCCTGAGCCAATGACCCCATAAATAGGCCTCATTTTGGGCTCTTACATGACAGCTGGAATCCAGATAAGGGCTGCCTGAGGATGGAGCTCGGGATGGAAATGGGAGCGGCTGGGGGCGCCTGGGTGGCTCAGTTGGTTAAGTGTCCGACTTTGGCTCAGGTCATGATCTCACAGTGTGTGGGTTCGAGCCCCACGTCGGGCTCTGTGCTGACAGCTCAGATCCTGGAGCCTGTTTCAGATTCTGTGTCTCCCTCTCTCTCTGCCCCTCCCCTGTTCATGCTGTCTCTGTCTCTGTCTCTCTCAGAAATAAATAAAAAAACATTTAAAAATTAAAAAAAAAAAAAAAAAAGAAATGGGAGCGGCTGGTCAGGGCCCCACTGTGGACACCCTGACTCGGCCGGCTAGCCCAGCCCCAGCTCACGTGCCCCTGTACCCCACTGCACCCACTCACATGCTTTCTAGCCTGAATGCCCATCAGGGTCATGGGTCTGGTTAAGTCCAGTGACCCCAGTCCCTATGGGAGCCTAAAGGACAGTGGCACGCAGGCCCAGAGGTGCCCCGTGTCAGAGTTTTGCCTCAGCGGCTCCTGGAAATCTGTGCTCTTGGGTTTGGGGGCTCAGCCGGCATGGCTGAGGGCCACAAAGGCCAGGCCACCCAGGCCTTGAATGTCAGGGGAAGGTCATCTCGAGTGCAGGAGCCAGAGCAAGCTGCAGGTGAAATACAGACTTGTCTTTGCTGCCAGGGATGGGGCAAACGCTGGGGCTGGGGGCCGGGGTGCTGGGGGCAGGACTTGGAGATGTTGGAATGGCCCCAGGCTTCCAGTCTGCAGCTCAGGGTGGGAGGAAATAGAGAAAGCCTGGGGGGGGGGGGGGGGGGGGGGGGGCGCGGGCATCTGTGTCCAGCCTGGGCCTCCGGCGCCTGACTGGCTGTACCTGCTATCCTGGTCGAACATGGCTCTACATTTCCTGTTTTGTCCCCCAGATGAGCAGCAGCAAGGGCTTGGTGCAAACGTCTAACAGGGACGAGCGAGTGTCTCCCCACGTCTGCCTCCCTCCCCACAAGACCCACAGGATGGGCCAGGCGCCCTGACCTCGGGGGCTGCAGAAACCGAGGGAGTCCGGAGGGCCCTGCACATCCTCCCCTGGCTCCCAACCCCGGCCTCCCAGGTCAGCACACATGAGCAGCTGAGTGTCATCTCACTTCCCTGTGGTCCCTGAGGCCGGCGGGGACCCTGATCCTGGTCTCCCCACCTCCATCTGGGTCCCCTTCTCCTCACACCAAGGGGACAGAGGAAAGCACAGCAGTGCCCACAAGGACACGTCACTGATCCTGGTGAAGTGAAGGAGTCCACCTCAGCCTGGCAGACGGGGCCCACCGTGGGCGACTACTCACCCTTCTCAGCACCCCTAGGCTTCCCCGGCAGTGGGGCAGGTGGGGCCGGGCCGAGGCGGGGCCTCGCCCTTACTGAGGAACTGAGGGACCTGGAGCAGTGAGGATGGGAAAGCCCTGAATAGTTTATTGACACTGATTCTAAGCTGGAGCCCCCCTCTCAGTGCTGGACCCACCGTGGGTTCAAGTCTCGGCGAATGAGCTCGTATCCACAAACTGTCAATGCGTAGGACAGGCACCGCAGCACAGGACAGCACAGAAGCTGAGCACACAGGCCCTGCCTTGGGACCCCGGGGTGTGGACCAGGCGTTGAAGGGGACATCAGTCTCGACTGAGAATCTGGGAAGGACGGTCAGCGCCCAGCCCAGCGCGGGAGGTGGCCACGATCACTCCTTTCTCCTCGGGAACCCCTTTCTGTCTGCAACCAGCCAGGAAACGCGTTTCCGGGCCCGGGGCAGCGGGGTCAGGACCCCTGGACAGCACGCTCTCCAGGTCCATCAGGACCAGGCTACCCAGGCAGCAGTCACAGGTAAATGTGGCCCTGGGGGGACATGTCCCTCCAGGGGCCTGGCCTTTGTCTCCAATAGCTTTCAGGCCAGTTCCTGGGTGGACAAGACCCTGCAGCACCTGGGCCCAGTGTGGGGAGCAGGTCATCAGCAAGAGACAGACGAGGACAGCAGAGCTTCTCCGGCTTTACCGCTTAGAGCTGACCGAAGTCAGTAGGAAACCAAGAAACTCCTCTGCGGCTCTGGGAAATCTGCGCTGCTGGGCTCAGGGGCTCTGGGCTGCCGGCCAGCCCTGTAGGCGCCACAGCCCTGCAGGGGCCAGTTCCCTTGCCCCACCTCCCCTGGTCCTGACACAGTCCGGGCGGGAAGGCCAGGAGGCCGACGGGCCTGGTGCTGTGGGGGAGGTCTGCCCACTGTGGGCTCTGAAAGGCAGAGAGGCCGAGCCCCCAGCCTTGCTAAGCACGGAGGGGCCTCACAGTCCTTGTAGGCTCTTGGCCGCTGGGAGCCATCCCTCCCGAGGGGCCCAGACCCCACGTGGCCACGATCTGGAGCCTGGCTCAGGGACGCCTCTCCCTCCACTGCCCTGAGCAGCTGTGGAGCGGGAGGAAGCACCTTCCGGCAGCTGGGCTGGTTCTGACTCAGCATCTGTCGCTGGGAGACGGTCAAGCTGAGCCAGGGGCCGTGTCCAGACCTGTCCCGAGGCCCTGCTGGGCAGCGCCTGCCCTCTGTGTGCTGGCCTCTCTCCAAGGCGGTGTCACCGCAGAGCTGTGGGTGGGTCCCCAGGTCAGACGTTGCTGACCCGGGCCTCCACCGAGGAGATGGCAGTGGGGCCTGTGTCCCTGTCCAAGGGCCGCTCGCGTCTGACGTAGCGCGGCTTCCTCACTGAAACGGTCAGAAACAGGCAGGGTCAGAGGGGGGCCTGGGACAGGAGAAATGGCCCCCGGTGTCATGGGAGTGGGGTGTGGAGCAGCTGAGGGGGAGGAAACCCTACTGAGCTCCAGCTTGTGAGCCGAGTGGCTGCAGCTGAGGAGAGGCTCTATGATGAACGCTCTGCTCATCCCGGACACTTGGTGCCCTGCATCCCAAGCACCTTGGCCTTGCTCTCCCGAAACACAGAGGCAACAGGTCCCATGATACACGATGGGGTGGACGGTGACCCCCAAATGTGTCCATGTCCCGAGCCCCAGAACCTGCAGATGTGACCTTACTTGGAATAGGGGTATTTGCAGATGTGATTAAGGGTCTGGAGATGAGATCCTCCTGGATTATCTGGTGGCCCTAAATCCAATGGCCAGCGTCCTCCCGAGAGGGAGGCAACGAGCGGAGACCCAGGAGAAGTCACGTGAAGATGGGGGACAGAGGCTGGAGTGGTGTGGCCACGAGCCCAGAGATGCCTGGAGCCACCAGAGGCCGGAAGAGGCAGGAAGGACCCTCCCCTGGAGACTCTGGAGGGAGTGCGCCCCGCCCCCCACCTTGCTTTCTGACTTCTGGCCTCCTGAACGGGGAGAGAAGGCACTTCCGTTGCTTCAAGCCCTGCAGTTCGCAGGCATTTGTTATGACGGCCCCAGGAGGCTAATGCAGGGAACTTAAATTCATGATGCCTGTAGATGGTACTGCTTTAGAGAATCACAGACAAGTGTTCTATGGAACAGGGAAGATCTAGCCTTGACCAAGTAACTTCTTTGTCCCCAAAGAAGAGGGACATCCTCCCCTGTCCCCACTCCAGACTTCTGCACAGAAGAACAGACTGGGAAGGCCAGGAGACTCTTGCTCCATAGCCTGCAGCTGTGTGCCCATAGGCAGTCACTTAACCTCTCTGTGGCCATGATGTCATCTATAAACAGGGTTGATCATCCGAGGTGGCGCACACCTGACCCAGTAAAACTGAAGTGCCAGCCACCCAGAGGGGCCAGCCTGCTCCCTGCACCTACCAGCCAGGTAGAGCTGGGAGTTGGTGAGGGCCAAGCGAAGGTTTCAGGTGATGGCCCCAGACCCTCGCTGGGTAAAAAGGAAAAGGCACAGGAGCTGTGGCTGACTATGGGGGGCGCCTGGCCAGTGTCCCGAGAACTGCAGGGCCAGATGCCTGCAGAGCCCAGTCCTGCACTGGTCCCTGAAGTGTGGCTGACTCCACGGGCGGGACAATTTTGAAATTTTCACCCTAAGATGAGGACTGACATACCTGAGGACTGTGGCGGGGGAATCATGGCAGCCTTGAAAAGGAGAAAAGGCACAGTGAGAAGTGCAGATGGCCCCCAGCACAGAGGCCCACGACACCGGGGCACTCAGCCCATCCTTCTGGTTACTTACAGCTTCGCCAGGCTGCAGGGCAGGGGCTGCGGGCAAACACAGGTGTCACTTGGAGGCCACACAGCTGCCTCACCTGGGGCAGGGGTCCCTCGCCTGGGAAGCGGGTCCCAAGAGCCTTCAGAGGCTCTTCCCCTGCCCCGGCTCCGCCCAGCCCCAGGCTCCGCCCAGCCCCGGCTCCGCCCAGCCCCGGCTCCGCCCAGCCCGGGCTCCGCCCAGCCCCAGGCTCCGCCCAGCCCCGGTTCCGCCCAGCCCCGGCTCCGCCCAGCTTCAGGTTCCGCCCAGCCAGGGCTCCGCCCAGCCCCAGGCTCCGCCCAGCCCCGGTTCCGCCCAGCCCCGGTTCCGCCCAGCCCCGGCTCCGCCCAGCTTCAGGTTCCGCCCAGCCCCGGCTCCGCCCAGCCCCGGCTCCGCCCAGCCCCAGCTCCGCCCAGCTTCAGGTTCCGCCCAGCCCCAGCCTTGCCCAGCCCCACATCCACAAGCCTGCCCACCAGTGCCCTCCGCCCGGCCAACTGTCCTGCAACACGTCCCACCTGCACGTGGGGTGGTGGGTCCCCAGCATCCCAGGGGAGCCGCCCTCCCAGGCCCTCTTGGCAGAGCCACAAGCCATCCCTCAGAAGGTACATTTCTCTTGGTCTCCAGCACCGCCAGGAAAACAGAGAAGGCTCTACCCTTGCCTGCACTTCCCAGGGGAGGCGCAGGGCTGGGGACCCGCCTCAGCAGACCACCATAGTGCCCACTTCTCACCTCCACCGGGCAGGTCGCTATGCACCCCTGCACTCTTGGTGGGCACCTAGGCTGCCCAGGCCCAGCTCTGGGGGTGGCAGGGAGGAGGCACGGAGTAGGAGCGCCCCAGCCACTGCATGGACATGCCAGGACCTCTGTGGCCACTGCAGCATAGCAGCCTCCCACAGCGGCCTCGGGAGTGCCCAGCCCGACTGGCACGGGAACCCAGCCCCTGCCTCTCAGGACCTTTCAGCTACAACAGCCCCACTGAGGCACCAGCATTGGCTAACGGCGGGTGGATGGGGTCTCACTGAGGCCAGGTAAGGGGGCTCTAGCTAATCACCCACTGGCCGGACCATCTGCCTGGCACACCTGAGGGCACAGCAGGCGTGACACCCGTCTCTTCAGGAGGGAGGCCGGTCGGGCATCCAGCCCAGGGTAAGCTGGAGTGGCGCGGGGCCCCACTGTCCCCGCGCCAGCCCGCCTGTCCCCACTCCCAGGGAGGCAGGATGGGGAGAGGACACAGCTGGCTGGAGGAGCTGCAGGCAGGTGGCCCCAAGACCAGGGATGCCACCTCCTCCCCACACCTCTCCCACCCCTCATCAATGACCCCGCTGTGATGCCCCGAGGTGGAGTCACGCCAACACCTTTACCCTGACAGCCCCACAGAATCCACACGGGAGCCTCCCTAGGAAGTGGCTGTCCCTCTTACTCTATGACACAGGAAACACGTGACAACCCTGTCCCCTTCCTGTTCTGTGAGGAGTCTTCACTGCTGGACACCCTGTATCTCGCCACCGCAGCCCCTACTCCTGTGCCCCCTGGGCAGAACCCGTGGCTCCATGCGGGCATGTGTTGCCACGGTGGCAGGAGGAAATACCTTTGTTTCTTCCGTAGAAGACCTTGGGGAGCTTACTCGTACGCTTCAGGTAGAAGAACCCAGCCACGGAGAGGATGAGGCCAGAGCTGATGAAGAATGTCCCCAGGAAGAGGGAAGCTGCCACTTGAGGGCCCCCTGTGAGCAAAATGAGTGGCTGCCAGTGGCAAGCCTGGGGGGCCTCAGAGGACCTCCCCAGACCCCTGTCCCCTGAACACACGGGGGCTGTGGGGTCTGAGGTGTTTAACCTCCCTTGGCCTCAGGCTTCTCACGGGGAGGTGGGCTATTGAGAGGGTTAAGGATCCCAGCCCCTGAGAACACCAGGCCCCTGGGTCCCCATCTCCTTCCTAAAGACTCAGCACCGACTGCGGGGCCCCACGCCCCTGGCACTCTGGAGGTCGGGGTTCCCACTACACCCTCAGCTCCCGGGGGCGTGGTGCCAGTCACCAGACGAGATGCCAGCCCATCTTTACTTACACGGGGTCAGGACAGGCTGGTTGGGCCCATGGCTGGGGGCTCTGGATGGTGACTGTGGGGAAAGTGCTCTTAGGTTGCCTGTGGGGAGGTGACTTTCTGACCCTGAGACACAGGCATGAGGCATGGCCACGGCCATATTGGAACCTAGAAGTGGGGAATTCCAGCTAATTCAGCAAGGGTGTCCTGCCCCAAATTTGCTGCAATGAAAACGGGCCCAACAGCCAGCCCCGCGGTCTTCCTCCATCAGCACCCCCACTGCTAGACCCAGCACGGAATCTATGACAGGAGGTGGGGCCGTCTGTGCTGTCCCCACCCTACAACTCCTCCCCTGGTGGCTGGCCTCGGTGGTCCAGGCCAGCACAAGGCCACCTGCTTCTGGTCCTGAAACTGCTGCAGACGGCTGGAGCCCTCAGTCACGAACAGCATGTCCTCTGCTGCAGGCCCAGTGTCTGCGGGTCACAAGACCCCACCATGACCTGGCCACCCCAGAAGAGGAGGTGAGCCCTCCTGGGGCGTGTCTTGCTCCCTGACTGGTGTGGCCACTTTGGCCGGGCGGGTCACATCGCAGATAGGATGGGATGCCCCGTAATCAGGAGCAGGTTGAGGACAGAGTGCACAGAAGGAGGGCCCTGTGTCTGCCCCCGAGGCCAGGTGGTGTGGTGGGCTCCTCGGTCTGGCACGCGGCGTTTGCAGGCCAAACCCTGTACCCTCAGAAGAGCAGCAGGGGATGGGGGCAAGGGACCTCAGGGTGTCCTCCAACCTCCAGAGGACCGCACACCCTGAGTTCCCGCGGACTGCGGGGCTGGGTGGGCCAGGATTGAGGCCACAGGTGAGGCGTGCAGCTGTAAGGGCTTCCAGTAACTAGAACCACTCGGGGGCACATGTGAGGGCTGTGGCAAAGGCCTCCTGTGCCCACTGACCCCAGTGCCCAGGGCTGCTGACTGCAGCAGCCCTGCTCTGTGATCAGGCTGGGTTCTTGCACATAGACATCTTGGCTGGGATGCAGTCTGACCTTGGCCATGGCCGTGGCCTTGCTAAGGCCAGCATAAGTGGTCATGGGCACTGGGAATGGCACAGACGATGACCCCCTCCCCCACCAAGACCTGGCAGAAGCCCTGCTCTGGGCTGGTGAGCCAGAGACTTACCGAAATCAGGCCGCCCGGGTGTCCCCGTGCTCCTGTTTACCGGGAACTGTGTGCCCCAGCCAGTGACTGTGGGGAAGCAGAGGCATCAGTGCTGCGGGCTGCTGGGCAGCCCAGACCTACAGGCAGGTCTGGACCATGCATGGGCACCCAGCTGAGGACTCCCAGGGACCAGAGACGCAGCCCAGTGCGGAACCGCGGGCCAGAAACCAGAAAGGGAGGGGCCATGGAGACAGAGCTGCCCTCACCCCGTGGCTGTCCTGTACAGACAAGGACTTAGGGACAGAGGGGCGTTCACTTGACGGCCTGTGGTCCAGGGTGAGGTGGGCTACCCGCTGCTGTGTGAACAAGAAAGCAACTCCCACCCGTTCCTCCAGAACTTGGAGACGCGGCCCCTCGGTGGGAAGCAGGCCAGGTGGGCCTGGTGGGGGGTGCCGCAGGGCGGCCTCTGCACTCGGCCCTGTGGTGGGTGCCGTTTCCGCACTGGATGCAGCTGATGCTGCCGTCTTCGTTCTGGTGCCGGTAGCAGCCTGTGCAAGAGACAGTGACTCAGCTCCGAGCGGCCCGCGCCAGCTGTCTTCAGGGGCCTTTTCTGTACTTTTGAGTTTGTGAAATGAGAGCTAGTTCAAGAAAGCTTAGATGGAACGGCATACCTGCTTTCAGACAAAGGAACAAACTCGATGGGAGCCACAGCGAGCTCGCTCACCTGGGGGCTCCAGTGGGCTCCATTTCCGGACACCCCATAAAATACTGCAGGGAGGCGCCCCGCGTGCCCCGCGAGGCCTGTGACGGCCTGACTGCCGGCCCCCACCCGCCTCGTCGGGGGCACTGCCTCCAGCCCGGGTGTGACCCTTGCCCCGTGGTGCCCCCGGGCTCTGTGCCCTTCCCTGGGGAGGTGCCAGACTGATATGCTGGCCGGCAGCCTCACCCTCTCTCGGTGCTGAGAGCAGCCCAGCTCTCACTGGTTCAGACACTCCATTTTGCCAGCTAGCCAGGGCACCCCTTAAGGGCAAGAATTGTGTCTTATACCTTCATTTCTTCTTAACATCCCCAGCATTCAGCACAGAGGCTAAGCAAACACATGCTCGACTGCAGGTGCTGACCTGGGCCTGAATGCTAGCGCTGGCCACTGGGCAGCGTCCAGGGACAAGCCATAGACCACAGGTCCGATGCTGACTCCATACACAGTGTGTCACTGTGAGATGACACCAAGTGGATGTCGGGCCTGGAGACTGACCAGCGGTTACTCCTGTGACACCATCGGCAGACAGGCCTAGCTCCACACAGGGAGCTCCCAGGGGACACGGGCTCCCAGGACAGACTTGGTACCAGTGCAGCGGTTCTCCTGAGAGGCACCCCTCCAACTGGCTGCAGGTTAACTCGGCAACACGGTGCGGGGTGCCGGCCCCAAGGAGGCCCCGAGCTGGGCTGTTGTGTGCAGGGACAAGGCACAGCTAGAGAGCCAGGACTGGTGACCAGACAAAGGAGCTAAGGTTAACTTTATGAAGCCAATGAAGCCCCTTTGAAAAACCAACAGAGGGGCGGCTGGCAGACTTGGTCATGGAGCGTGCGACTCTTGAACTCAGGGCTGTGGGTTCAAGCCACATGATGGGTGTAGAGATTACTTAAAAATAAAATCAGGAAGGGAAGGGAAGTGGGGAGGGTAAGGGAGGGGAGGAAAGGGAAGAGTGAGAGGAAGGAAGGAAGAAAGGGAGGGAGGGAGGGAAGGAGGGAGGAAGGAAGAAAAAAAGAGAGAGAGAACGAGAGAAAGAAAAACCACCTGGTGCCTGGTTTACTGGCTTCCCAGCCTCACTTACAGGTGAGTGAGGAAGCTCACTTCCTGGCAAATCCAGGAAACTTAGGGTATTTTGACTTTGAGAAGAGAGGAATTTGGGGCGCCTGGGGGGCTCAGTAGGTGAAGCATCCAACTTCTGCTTAGGTCATGATCTCACAGTTCATGAGTTTGAGCCCCGCGTCAGGCTCTGTGCTGTCAGAGCAGAGCCTGCTTCGGGTCCTTTGTCTCCCTCTCTCCCTGTCCCTCCCTTGCTCGCATGTGCTCTGTCTCTCTCGCTCTCTCTCCCTCTCTCTAAAATAAATAAACATAAAAAAAAAAAAGAAGGGAGGAACTCACCAACATCTATAGGTGTTGCAGGTAGTGTCTGATGGAGAGTCCTTGCTTGGCTTCCCAGCCTCGAGAGTCCAATCTAAGATTCCTTGTGCAAACGTCCAGCAAGGCAGACTTAAAAGTCTAAATGGTTAATCACTATTCTTGCTGCACTTAGGTAGATAATTGGGCCAAGTTCAGTGAGGCTAGACTTATTTTAAAAACAAATTCATTTCAGGGCACCTGGGTGGCTCAGTTGGTTGAGCGTCCAAATCTTGATTTCAGCTCAGGCCATACTCTCACGGTGTGTGAGATCAAGCCCCACGTTGGGCTCTGTGCTGAATGTTTATTTATTTATTTGGAGAGAGAGAGCACATGTGCAAAAGTGAGGGGAAGGGCAGAAAGAGAAGGAGAGAAAGAGAGGGGGAGAGAGAGAGAGAAAGAGAGAAAGAGAGAGAGAGAGAGAGAGAGAGAGAGAATCCCAAGCAGTCTCCTCACTGTCAGCAAAGAGCCTGACATGGGGCTCGATCCCACGAACTGTGAGATCATGACCTGAGCCAAAATCAAGACTCAGATGCTTCACTGACTGAGCCGCCCAGGAAGGCAATAAACATTTAAAAAAAAAAAAAAGAAAAAAGAAAGAGGAAAAAGAACTAAGACGCCCTCTTCCCAAAGCCCCGCAAGCTGACGCTGGAGGTCTTGACACAAACCTTGGAGAAATCACCTTGACGTCTGGCGCCTGCTGCTGTGTGGGTCCCTCAGAAAGTTCACGAGAAGCCCCACCCTCTCACCGGAGACCTTCACCGCAGTGCCACCCAGGAGACCCGTCAGACCGCCTCTGCTGTCCTCACTCCACCTAACCAGGCTTTGAGTCCCGCGTCTAGAGAGGCCCTTAGCTGCCCGCACGTCACGCCGCGGCCAGAGGCCCGCCTGCACAGCGGCTCCGGACGCCAGCGCGGCGGCCTCCGGGACGTGGGCCGCGTGCTCAGACGCGGTCTTTCCTGCCCCCTCGTCCATGCTCTTCCTCGCCCTCTGCGGGTCCTTCCTCTCACAGCTTCCAACCAGATCTCTCTGCAGCCACCAGCTTGGCTTTGAATGCGTGAAACTTTCTGAGGAAACAGTTTCAGACGGGGGACTGAGGAAACCAGAATATGTCACCCCAAAATATGCCTCTTTCACACAAAACTTATTTTCAGCTGAAGACCCTTAACAGTCAGCAGGAGCAAGAAGGGCTCTGAGTCCCTTTCTCTCCCTGAGAAGCAGGGACGAAGGCCCACGTGGAGGAGGCCCACGCAGCAGGCGGGAAGAAACGCGCTCATCGCCAGGGACCCGGGTCCGGCGGACCTCGTTCAGGTGGCCCCCATCCGCCTGCACCCCCCACCCGGCCTGCTCTTCCCAGTCGCCTCTCCCTGCTCAGCCTGGCACACGGGCGCTCCGGTCTCGGTGCCATCATGAGGCTCCCGTGCCACATGAAGCTTGTGTCGATCAGGCTGTGGGCTTGTCCCCCGAGAACCGCCCAGCCGGCCACCCCACAGCACGGAGAGGGGAAGTCTCGCTCCCCCCACACCGCCCACCCCCCCCAGCCAGGTTCCTCTGCCCCTTCCACCCGAAAAGAGCAGCCAGGCTGCTGGCCGCGAGGGGGGCTCGGACGCGATCCCCTTCCTGCTGCTGCCGCCCGCTCCCCAGGCCCCTGGCCCAGCTCCCGGGCACCGCCAGCACCCTTCCTGAGGGGCCCGAGGCCCTCCTGCCCGCACCAGGTGCGGCGAGCTCCGCAGAGGTGGCACGAGCCTGTCCCTCACCAGGGCTGGCCAAGGCCGGCTCGAGCCGCAGCAGCTTACCTGGGCCACACGGGTTTGTGCCCCGGCAGGTGGTGTTGACATCCCCCAAGTGCACACAGCATTCAGGCTGCTGGCCCTAGAGAGGAGATGGCGGTGAGTTCCCGAGCCCACAGCCGGGGCAGGCTGGGAGAGGCCCTGGCCCGGGGCAGCGCAGCAGGGCGGGGAGCGGTCCTGGGGACGCGTCCAGGACCGAGGGGTGTGTAGTCGTTCCCTCCACTGCCGACCGCCCCGTGGGCCACAAGCAGCTATGCAGGGGGCACATCAGTCCAATAAATGATTGACAGGCATTACTCTGAGGTACTTCGGATTCAGTTCCAGACCACAATAAAGCGAATCAAGGGAGTCTTTCGGTTTCCCATGTGTGTACCAGTCACGTTTACGCTATACTATAGTCTATTAGGCGTGCAACTGCATCGTGTCTAAAACACAATGTATGTGCCTTAATTAAAAATACTTTGCCACACAATGCGGGTCATCACCCGAGCTTTCAGCGGGTCAGAATCACTGATCACAAGTCACCATAACAAATGTGATAGTAATGAAAAAGTCGAAATATTGTGAGAATTACCAAAATGTGGCACAGAGACATGTTGTGAGCAGACGCTGGTGGGAAAATGGCACCCATGGACTTGCTCAATGCAGGGTGGCCACAAACCTTTGATTTGTTAAAAAAAAAAAAAAAAAGGAAAAAAGTAGCATCTGCAAAGCGCAATAAAATGAGGTGTGCCTACATCTCATTCACCACCTGGAGACAATGAAAGGTGCTAAGTAAACCCTACTGCAGGGCCTCGACTCCTTCATGAAAAAAGGAAACACACGTTTTTTTAGACTGTAATAAAATATGAAGATAAACTCAGGGATCCCTGGCCTCGCTGTTGAGGTGTGTCTGCCCCTCACATCCAACAAAATAGTCACCCCTTAGGTCCTGGTTGATCCACTGATGTTCTCAGAAATTCTATAGATGCCTTCCACCAGGGGTTTTCAGCTTGGGCCTCGAAGAGGAAGTGGCCAGGCCAGGCCAGGCTGTGGGGTATGAACTCACACACAGGAACGCACCATGCGGGGGATGGATATGCCAACTGCTGGCATTTACAGGACCAGACTTGAGGAGTTCCCAAGGGGAGCCTGGCTCAGTGTGTTTATTGTAGCTGAGCTTTTGTTTCTGGTGATAAGAACACAGTGAACAGTAAAGGACGTCAAAGGAATGGCACAGAGTATCCATGCCCCCACAGGAGGGGTCGAAGGCCAGTTCACAGCTGAGGCCAAGCCCACGAGGGACACCTCAGCCATCCCATTCCACCCAACCCTAGCAGAGGCAGAGTGGCGGCAGGCCCTGCCGGCCGGAATCATGTGCAGCTTGGAAGAGCCGGGGTACCTGGGCACAGGAAGGCTGCGGCAGGCCCTGCCTAATGCCACTGCTGGCCCGGAGTAAGCAGTCTTCAAGCACCCCTCTGCGGGGCAGAAAGCTCACAGGCTCCGTTCAGGGCCAGCAGGGGGGTGGGGGTGGGGGGGAACAGCTCTGTAGAGGCCCTATTTCAGCTACAGCAACAGGTTCACTTTGGCAGAAAAAGCAGCTTCTAGGGGGCATAACAGAACAGGTGACAGTTGGGGGGCGTGTGTTTGCTGCCCTCCATGTAGCACAGGCCTCCCTCACCCCAACAGAGGGCACTGTCCGTGTCTCTGGGGCCAGGGCAAGGGTGACCCCTGAAGGTCAAAGGGTGAGGCCCCTCTGGGGGAACACCTGGGAACTGGGAACTTCCTGGCACCCATGCCACCCTGTGACAGGTCACCTACCACATTTTCTGAGGATTTGCTAGCAACTTCCACCAGGAGGCCCGCCAGAAGGATGGCACGCTGGAGCGCCATGTTCCAGAGCACAGGGTCTGCAACAGACAGGGGCACCGTGTGGACGTGGGCACCTCCTTCTGGAGCACCATGGGGGGCGGGTGCAGGACCCTTACCTGGCCCTCTGGGATGGGAGCTGCACACATCCAGAGCCTGTCGCCCAGCGCTCGGGGGGCGGGGAGGGGTTGCTAAGAAGCCACAGATCCCTGGTCCCAGGCCTGCAAACCAAGGCAGACAGTGAGGCCCATTGTTCCCAGGTCGACTGGACTCACCATACGGAGCCCCCTGAGCTGGGGGACTGGAGCAGCTGTGTTCAATCCGTCTGGAGCTGGAGCTGAATAGACTCACTCCTTTCCCAAAGCTTTCAGCCATTCACTGCCTCCCGAAAGGACTAAGCACAAGGGGGTTCTGGACAAGCCCGTCCCACTCATGAGCTCGGACTGGTGGTGTCCATCTGCCATGTTCTGCCCTAGGAAAACCCCACTTCAAGCGTTTTCACCAAGACACAGAACTCCTAGGCAGCGAGATGCCTCTGGGGCCAACACGGGCCAGTCAGGGACCGGCCGGCTTATAATTTTCTACTGTTCACCTTGCTCTTGTCACGGGAGCTGCAGGAAGGAGTCAGCTTGGGTGATAAAGGGCCACCTAACACCAAGACTGAGGACAACTCCAGAGCAGAGGACTCCCGACGGGCGATGGGGCCCCACGGGGTAGGTGAGTTTCCTGACACTAGCAAACTCACAACTCCGCAGCCCATGGTGAGCGCTTAAGCTGCCACATTTCAAATGTGGTCAGAGAAAACCCTCTAACTTGTACAACCCCTGTAGTGAATGGTTAGTTTTGAACACGTTTCTGTTAACTTGCAAGGTGGTGAGCATAATTACAATCTGTCCAAAAGATGGCTGGCTAAATACTTGGACATAGAAAAGTCACCCCTAAAAGGGCTTTTTACTTGACAAAAAGCTGCTATTCTGGGAACCTGTTCTGGTTCCTGGAGATGAGGCTTCTGCTGGCAAGGTGGGTCAGCAAGGAACACATCTGGGGCCGAGGAATGAGAAACCACCCCCTCAGCCAGCCGAGGGCCCATCTGAGGGCCCATCAGGTGGTGGGCGAGCTCCTGCCTGGGGTCCTGGGGAAGAGACCCGGTGCTGGGGACGGTTGACAGGCCCCGGGTGTTGTGCGCCCCGGTGTTCCGAGCACGGGGCTGGATGACACGTGCAGGAGAGCGGTATAGGAACAGGGGCTGGGGCTCTGTCCTATTATCCGCTTCATGCTAGAAAACACTTTCATCTGCTAGTTAGTCAACTTATTGGGGTATAAATTACCCACAACAAACTGCACCCATGTAGAGCACACAACTCGGTGAGTTCGGACACATTGTGCAGGACATCTCTGCCACCCACAGATGACGGCTGAGACCCTCTGCAGTCCTTCTCTCAACCCTGGCTTCGTGCACCCATGGGGGCAATCGGTGTCACTGCCGAGCAGCTTGCATTTTCTATAATTCCATGTAAATGAATATACAGTGTGTGCACGGGTGTGCCTGGCTCCTTCCATTTGAAATAATGATCTTTAGATTCATCTGTACTTTGTTCTTTTTATGGGGGATGATATGCAACACTGCCTTTACCCAACCACCTGCTGATGGACACACGGACTGTTTCTGGATTTTAGTGGCATGAACAAAGCTACTGTGGACATTTTTGTACAAGTCTTTGTGTGGACGTTTGTTTTAGTTTCTCTTGGGTCAGTACTCAGGACTGGGGCAACTGGGTCAAGGGGAGCGTAACCTGCTGACCTGTCTTCCAAGGAACCATATGCACTCCCGCCAGCAGGGTATGAGGGTTCTTTGGCTCCACATTCTTGCCAACAGTGGGCATTGTGTCAGTGGCTGTGCAGTGGGCAGCTCACTGTTGCTTTAATTTGCATTTCTCTGGTCACTAATGATGGTTCTTCACCCTCATGTGTTTATATGTCTTCTTCAATCATTTGACCATTTTGTTTAATTGTCTGTCCTTCTATTACTGAGTTGTAATAGCTCTTCACATGTTCTTTGTCAGATATATGTATTTTCAGATGTAAGTATTTTGCAAGTATTTTCTCCCATCTATGGCTTGCCTTTTCACTTTCACATGGGTATCTAGAAGAACAAATGTTTTCACTTTGATAAAATCCAATACATCCGTTTTTTCTTTTATGTTTCTTGCTTTTTGTGTCCTAAGGTTAATCTCTGCCTTGACCTCAGGGTCATTCCTGTGTTTAATTCTAGAAGTTCTAGAGTTGTAGCTTTTACATTTTGAGTTACTTTTGTGTATGGCAGGAAGCAAAGATCAAGGTTCATTTTTTTTCATATGTGTGTCCAGGGGTGTAGCACTGCTTGATAAAAAGATTTTCCTTCATGGGGGCACCTGGGTGGCTCAGTTGGTTGCGCATCTGACTCTTGATTTGGGCTCAAGTCATGATCTCACAGTTTGTGGGATTGAGCCTTGCACTGGGCTCCTCACTGAAGTTTGGAGCCTCCTTGGGATTCTCTCTCTCCCTCTTTCTGCCCCTCCCCCACTCATTCTCTCTCTCTCTTTCTCTCAAAATAAATACATTTTAAAAAATTAAAATAAAATAAAAACAGCCTACCTGTCCCTTGGATTTTTTTTTAAAAATGATTTTCCTTCTTGGGGTGCCTGGGTGGCTCAGTTGATTGAACATTTGACTCTTGACTTCAGCTCAGGTCAGGATCCCGTGGTCGTGCGACTGAGCCCTGCTTAAGATTCTCTCTTTCTCTCTCTCTTTCTCCCCCCACCACTCATGTGCACTTTCTCTCTAAAATAAAAAAACTTAAAAAAAGACTTTCCTTCTCACACTATCATGGCATCTTTGTTGAAAATCAACAGAGTGTGTATGTATGGGTCTATCTCTGGACTCTCTACTCTGCCCCATGCATCTATCTGTCTGTCCTTCACCAACACCACAGTCTTGATTACTAAAGCTTTACTATAAGCTTGGAAACCAGTAGCATAAGCTTTGCTTCATCAAGTCTAGGTCATATGCACTTCTGTATTTTAAAAGTCATCTTGTTAATTTCTACAAAAGAGCCTGGTGGAGGTTTGGCTGGGATAATGGATATTTTAACAATAGTGAGTCTTCTGATCTATCACTCTCCATTTCTTCACATTTTCTTTTAAGCTGTCTCAGCAACGTTCTGTAGTTTGCAGTGAAGAGGTGGTCCTGGGAAGAATGGGGTTCTGGATTAGCCAGTCCTATACATGAGCTGAGACCACTTAGTAAGTGAGTTTGTCAAACTTATTGCCAAATATTTTATTTTTTGGTATTATTGTAAAGAGGATTGAGTTTCTAAATTCACTTTCTAATACTTTGCTGCTAGTACATAAAAATAGTTAAAATTTGTTCATTTGTCTTACTTTCTGAAATCTTACTAAATTCACTTGATAGTTCTAGCACTTTTTATAGATTCTTTAGATTATTACATAAATAATCATGTCATCTGCAAATAAATACAGCTTTACTTCTTTAGGTTTGTTTTTTTTTTTTTTGAAACTTGTTTTAGGGCACAGCAATTGGTCTGTTAGAGAATGTACAATGTGCTCTTAGTAGGAATTTGTACTGTGCTTTTGATGAGTATAGCTTTCTACAAATATCAATTAGGCTACGATGCCTGAGGGTAGGGTTCAGATCTTCTATGTCTTTACTAATTTATTTTTTTTTTGTTTTTTGGTTTTTTTTGGTTTTAATAATTGATGAGAGAAAGAGATGTTAAAATCTTTTATTATAATCATGGAATTAGGTATTTCTCCTTTTAATTCTGCCAATTTTACTTCATTTATTGTGAGGCTCTGTTATTATGCACATTCATAAATTGATGTGTCTTCTGGAAGAAATGACCCTCTTATCATTAGATATTTCCCCTTTATCTTTGGTAAAATTCAATATCCTGGAATCTGTTTTATCCAATATAAATATACCCAGTGCAGTCTTCTTATGTTCAGTGTTTCCAAGAGAGATAGGTGAATAAATGGATTTTAGACCTACAGATATATTTTGCATCTATAATCTTATCTTCAACCTGTGTTTTTTATATTTAAAGTGAAATGTCATATATACAGTATGTAGTAGGTTTTGCTTATTTATCCATTGTGGCAGTCTCTACCTTTTAATTGGAAAGTTCAGTCCATTAACATTTAATGTAATTATCACTAACATTAGACTTAGGTCTACCATTTTATTGTTTTCTACTTGTTCCTCTATTTTGTTTTGTTTTAATATTTGAAATATTTTTAGAGCAGTTTTAGGTTCACAGCAAAATTGAGCAGGAAGTAAGAGAGTTCCCATATGCCCCCACCACAACAGTACCTCCTCCACTATCAACATCCTATACATTTGTTATAATCAGTGAACCTATACTGACACATCACTGTCACCCAAAGTCCATATTTACCCTATGGTCACTCCTTTTTTTTTTTTTTTTTTAAGTTTACTTATTTATTTTGAGAGAGTGTGTGTGTGGACATGTGTGCACGTGTGAATGGGGAAGGGCAGAGAGACGGAGAGAGAGGATCTCAAGCAGGTTCTATGCTGTCAGCACAAAGCCCAACTCTGTTCTCAAACTCACAGACCATGAGGTCATAACCCAAGCCAAAATCGAGAGTCAGACGTTCAATCAACTCAGCCACCCAGGCACCCTTATAGTCACTCTTGATGTTGTGTATATGGGCTTTGGCAAATATATGGGTGGGTTTAGGGCTACTATTTTGTTTTCTTTTGGTCTCTCTGGTGTTTTATTCCTCTCTTCTCTTTCCTGCTTTCTTTTATATTATTTGAGTATTTTTAAAAATTTTTCAATTTATCTTTTGGTTTTTTGGTTATACTTCTTTGCATATTTTTATAGCTGTTACTACAGAGATTGCAATATACAATCCTTACTTTTTCACAGCTACTTAGAATATGGCACCACTTCTACTAAAATGTAGAAACTCTGCAGGGAGCCTGGGTGGTTCAGTCAATTAGGCATCCGACTCTTGATTTCCACTCAGGTCATGATCTCACAGTTCATGAAACTGAGCCCCACATCAGGCTCTGTGATGACAGCATAGAGCCTGCTTGGGATTCTCTCTCTCCCTGTCTCTCTGCCCCTCCCCTGCACTTTCTCTTCCTCTCCCTCAAGATAAATAATCTTTTTAAAAAACTTAGAAAACTTTGCAACTGT